GGGTTCCTTAGAGTTCTCACATGGGATTGTACATGGCCCCTTGTAAGAAGAGTTACTTTTAAGTTTCTCATGACATTTTATTTCATTTTTTGAACCAGGAAATACACCATGGTCAGCAGGTCAGAGCTTCATCCAGTCCCCGTGGGATTTTATGAGGAAGAGGAAAACAGAGCAGATCACTGCACTCTTGTCAGGTAAAGATAGTCCCAGTGAGTTGGTGCTTGAGAGCATTTGCTTCATGATTGGCACCAGTTCTTAAATCTGCATGTTTTTGTCCTGCATCCTCTACCTGTGCAGCGTGGCTACCATTACTAAATAATTGAATGTTTTTTAAACATTTGATTAAGGAGAGTGAAAATCAAAAGCCATGTTTCTGACACCTGTGGTGGTGTCTGTCCTGATCGTTGATTGCTGTGCATCTCTCATTAGGAACAAACCAGGGGCCAAATCTATGTGCTGAAAAGAGGGTGACAGACACTGTGTTAAAAATGCTTTTTGCTATTGTCAGGTAAAATAAAGGGTGACCCCAGACCTGTGCGTTAATCGTGGCCAAGGCTAGAATTTTCTGAGGATTGGGATTATCGCTCATAACATTTGCTTATAAACAGTAAAATACTGCATTCACCAGTGACAGCAACTACTAGCTACAGTGTCGGACCTGGGATCTGGAGGCCCCGGCTGTGATTGACAGGAGATGGGCGGGCTTCCAGGGGAAGGAAGAGGTGGGCGGCGGTCTCCTGGGAGGCCAGGAGCAGAGCCTGTTTACCATACAGTGCCAATGTCAAAGGCAGAGAGGTGCCTCTTGGCCACATGTCAACTCTGCCTACATAAGTCAACAGAATGTATCATTTATGGTAAGTTTTGTGTTTTTATCCTATTCAACAAGGAAGAGCCAATTTTCCTTTTGTATGTTTCTTTCTCACAGGTCCTCAAGAAGGCTGCCTCAGTAGTGTGACTTATGCATCTATGATCCCTCTTCAAATGCTGCAGAACTACCTCAGGCTGGTAGGTGGATGCTGTTAAGTGGAGTTGTACATTCCTATCCCCAACACTGGAATATTGGGTGGCCCATTTTTATGTTTAGAAAAAGTCAGCCCCTATTTGTCCTGTGCCCTGTGCTCTGACCTCATGACTTTCCCCAACACCCACCCGCCTGGAAGGCTGCTGGCCATTTAGTTCTGGATTTCTGTCCCTGCCATCCAGGTGTCCATTGCCTGGACCCAGAGACTACCTGTGACTTGTGAAATGTTATAATTTGGGCAGGAGATTGTCTTCCCTCAACAAGGACTTGACATCAAATAACTGATCATCAGAATGGAAGGGAATGGCTATAAATATCAAGATGCCTTGCTATAAACTCTTAGAATTAAAAATTGAGTAAATATGCTAGCATTAGAGCATTGATTTGGCCACTTTAACAGAAACCAAACTTAAACAGTATAGAAGTTTATTTTTCTCAGACAGGGTGATCCCTGTGGGGTCTCAGCAGCTTCCTCTCCACACCACCACTGGGCCCTGGAGGGTGGACTGTGTGGGCTCGACTGTGCTTGCCTGAGCGGGGAGAACCGGAGGGCAAGCCCCTTCCTGCAAGGGAGGTGCACACATCATTCTTGCCTCCATCCCACTCATCAGAAATTAGACACCTATCTACACCAGCTGGGAAGGGTGATCTGTTGTGGAGCAGCCACTTAACCAGCTACTACTAGGCAGTTCTGTTATTAAAAGGAAGGAGGAGAATATGATTATCAGAGAAAGTAGCCAATTGTGCAGAATGGAAAAAGTAACATTTTTCCAGGACTTAGAACATGCCAGGCAACAGGCTTATACATGTCTTTTTTATATATTCCTTATGAGGTAGATAACATGATCCATTTTGTAGATTAGGAAGCTGCGGCAGAGTGGTAAGGTGACTTGTTCAAGGCCACAGAGCTAGTGAGTAATAAAGCCAGGACTGTGCTAGTCCCTGATACATGTGTGTGTCTGTGTATAACATTTATCTAAACTAATGCTGAAGATGTGAAACATTGTGTAAACAAAAATTTTGCTTGCTGCCTTAATTTTAAGTTTTAAAAAATGGGTTGGACTGTAGCCCTCACAAAAGTTGTTTCCATTAACTGTGATTTGATGTCTTTGCTCCTGATGAAAGAAGTAGTCAAAAACTATTCCATTGACCTAGCTAGGCTTAAGGTTGAAATTGACTTTTGTAAAAGCAGCCACTATAGCATAGAAACATTCAAAGGCATTACCTGGTAGGAGAGATGGTAGCTTCTAAATCTGATGCTATCAGTTTTTTTCTTTGCTATTTGTTCCTCTATCCCTAAAGTATCAAAGTAAGCCTGAGGGTTACATGTAAGTGGAAAAGAGAGTGGTCTCATTCCTTTGCTGAGAGAAGGTTGAAGTCACGTGATGAACTGGTGTTCAGGAAGGTGAGCTGATGGCTCTCAGCAGCATCAGCTGGTGGAAGCACTTCCTTCTCTCTTTCTCTTTTATCTGTACAAGGCAAGGTTCTGTCTCAGGGCTTTTCATTCACTGTTGGTAAAATGAATGGAAAGGCTGTGCAGCTGATTACTTCGCACATTAGCCTTGGTTGAGCTGGTCTGTTGAAAGAAATGTCTACTAGTCACATTATATACAGAATACTCCAAGTACCATTACGTGTGTGCCTCCTAATGTATGCATGGTACAGATACGGTGTCAGCACCAGCGACAGACACACCAGAGACTAAGCTAACACAGTTGGTGGTTCCATTCTCAATTGAATGAGTGTACACAAAGGGCTTTTCAAATCCAACAATTAACCCTTAGATGAAGATAATAAAAATGTATCACTCCTTTTAACAATCACTTCAAAATTTAAAGTGATTCAGGCAATAATATACTATGATATAGGTTGTAATATTTCTTCTTCCACACAAGATTATAACCCCCTTAAGGAGATAGACTATGTGTTAATGCTTTTTTGTATCCTGTGAGCTATTTAATTCAGTTGTTTGACAGTCATTTATTGAGAGCCTCCTAAATGCAGGCAATATTTTGGAAACTTAAGGTACAGGTATGTACAAGATGTATTCCCTGACCTCATGGAGCCCACATTCTGGTGGGGAAGGCAGATTATAAAGAAATGAATAAATGCCTCTGTAATGTGGGGGCCAGTGCTAATTACAAGTATCAGAAATAAGAAAGCAGATAAGGAGAAGACAGCTAGTGGAAGAGGTGCAGGAAGAACTTTTGAATGGAGTTGTTAGGAAAGGCCTTTCTGTAGTGAAGTGTGCAGAGATCCAAATGAAGGTGAGCCTTGTGGAGAGTTTGGAGGAGAGGGAACAGCAAATACAAAAGTACTAGGCTGGCAGTGAGGCCTGAGGGATGACCGGAAGCTAGACCATGCAGCACCGTGGCAAGGACTTGGGATTTTATTCCAGATGCCGTAGGAAGCCACTGGTAGGATTGAGCCAGAGTGTGATGTATCTGCTCAGCGCCACAATAACTACAGACCCACTGATATGTTTGAATTACTGAAAATCTGTATGCTAGCTGTGCAAACCTAGTAATATTTTATTATTATAGGCCGAGCTCTTTTCTAAGGACATAGGTTGTCTCGTTCCATCAGCCTATGAGTACTTATACCAGTTACTCCCATTTTACAGGGGAATAAACCAAGGCACAAAGTAGTTTGTCCAAAGGCTTCAGCAAGTAAGTGGTAGAAGTTAAGGAGTTGAACCCAGGCTGTCTTCCATCTCCATGCATGTAATCATAGTGTATCCTACTTACAGACCTCTGGTTAAGAGAAAATTGCAGTACCCGGTTTTTACTATGTGTGTAGGTATATTATATAAAATGTGTGTATTAAACCTTTACGTAGAAAACCACATAGAGTGCAGACTTTAAACGGGCCTTTTGTTTGCTTTTTTGTAAATGATATTTTTAAATAATCTCATTAAGTAGTTAAACTAATACAAGTACATTTTAAATCACCATCCTTGAGCTAATAAAGAAATATTTAACTGAGTTTTGAATCACTAATAATTTATTACAATAGTTGAACTTCATGCATTAATTCAAATTTGATTAGCCAGTTCCAATTTTTATTAGCTAATTTGCAACCTTGTATTTTAATACTTCCTTGAATAGGAATAATTATTAGAAATAATATTTATATATTAGAATTTTAGGATAATTCTTATAGCAAAATACTTGAATAGATCATCTTAATCTAAGCTCTATGTTCAAATGTAGGACTCTGAATCCCATAGAGCATAAATCTTGAGATTTCACTGCCTGTTAGCCATCCATTCATATGTGCCATGCTAACCATCAAAAGTCATGACTAGGAGATCTAGTCTGACCTTGACTCTTACAGTTTCAGTAAGCTCATTTTTAAAGATATGTAGTGTGTGTGTCTCTTGTATGAACTGTAATTTATCTTAAATTCCCTTATCTTTTCATACTTAGCCTATAAAGAAGGACCTCAGCAAATCGTTAAAACCCTCTCTAACATAAAGGACTCCAGTTTTTTGTATCTCAAACCTGGATGTGCCAGTATTGTTTGGGGATGATCATATATGAATAAATTGATAATAACTGTGTCATTTGTGGCTCCTAAGTCATACATAAATTAATTCTTTAAATAATCTTGTGTCAGAAGAAGTCAGAAGTCAAAGGCTTTAATACATGCATTTTATATAACATCTATGTCCTAGCTATAAAGCATGACACTTTTAACTCAGTAAAGACCTTTTACTTTTCATTCTTTTTTGAGTTCACCATCTCAGCACGACCTGGCCTAAAACTATCTCTGGAGAGTAGAAGCTTTTCTTCAGACTCTGACAAGTGTAACACCAAACAAAATTTGAAGCTCATTGCTTTAAAATAATGCCATTAGTCTGAAAATACATCCCAAGTGCCACACTGAGCTCAGCAGAGACCACAGTATGTCTAGTAAACTCCATTCTGCAGAAAAACACGTGGAGGGAAAAAAAATCCAGGGATGGATGGGCCTTTGCTGAGGTCGTTGTTTCCATTTAATCCAGAATTCATGTGCCCCACAGGCACTAATTGACACGTGGTAAGAGCTTCCAGAACAGGCTGTGAAGACACAAGAATAAAAGGGATTGATTGGTACCAGTTGTGATAAGGCCAGTGTCCCTTTACTAATAAGCAAAAATGCCATACTGTAAATGTGCACTTAGAGGATAATTTTGGTGACTCTAATTCACCTTTTAGAAGTTGAGTTTAATTTTTTTAAAGAACAGATCTCCTTTCAGCACAATTAAAATGTTTACCTCCCTCCCCAAATCCCCAAACTCTGCCTGCCTGCCTCTTTGTCTTTAGAGCACTCTGCTGGAAGCGCAGAGAATTTGTATTTATTATACCTCAGACATGTTACTTGGAGCAACAACATAGCAAGGAAGCGCTAGAACAGATAATATATTTTCTTGGCATAGCTTTGCATTCTTTTGCTCCAGTCTCAGTAAAGCAATAGGCTCCCAGTAATTAATTTTCGTTCAGCTCTTAAAAGGTAACCAACACCGCTGTGTCATTGGATAGCATAGAACAAAATATCAGTAACAAAAAATTGGTAATATCTGAAATGAGGAGAACCCTACTAATGGAATGCATGCATTAGAATGTTGGAGTGATCTGGACGCCTGTGCATTTATTTTTCCCTTTATTTACTTAACCCACTTGTTTATATTTTATCTTATTCCAGAAAAGATACTAGACTATGTGAACACAAAATGCTTCCAGCTAGTAAATGGCCTTTTCAATGAAATTTTAAATTGAATGTTTCCTTTCTGTATTTCATAACAGCCTACAGTCTGAGAACAAATGGGGTGTTGATCTGGAAGACAGCTTATCTATAAAGTTGGGTCTTTTGCTGTTACATGATTTCAAAATCAATCTTAAGAAAGGGGAGGCAGTTTGACAGGATGGCTATAATGAATAGAGCACTCTTGTTTTCAGAAGTGAGATAAGACTAAACAGAAGTGCTAGCTGAATATCTCAAAGGTAGAACATTCAGTAAATCTCGAAGATCTGTGTCCTGTTGCACTAGTGTGAAACAATCCATCCCTTGTAAGAGAATTTCTATCCAATAAATCACAGCAGTTTGGGACTAATTTGGAGAGTGCAAGACTTCTGGTTTACAATTGTGCCTAGGTAGCACTAAAGTGCTTTTGAAGAGTGACTAAACTTCTCAGTGACAGAGAAAAATAGAACTGAGATCTCCCTTTAGCAAGAATCTGGAAAAAAATGTCCACTACCTTTAGAGGCAATAAGCCCACCTTATTTGAACCGACCAGAAATTAGGTGGGAAAATACTTTTTTATTATTCTATTAACCATCTTACAAATAACTCAAAAAAATCAAGATTGATACTGGTTAGGAAATAGGATGTATATACACTTTACTGCATAGTCTCTGCTTTTGGCAGCACCACGATTTTCTCCTCCACCCCCTGTAGGACAGGTCCTTCCACATCCATTCAGAGATTAAAGCTCCTAAAACTCACTGAGCAGGAAGTTGGTGGGCGCGGGTGAGACTCTGCCATGGGAGCGTACTGCATAAGCGCTCTCAGCGTTTTGGTAGCAGGAGCATTCTGCTTCCTGGGACTGCTGTCTCAGGCATTTGTCTGCTGTGCTGGACATCAAGATTTCAGCCCACTGAGCCACTGGGAGCCTGGAGTTTAACTAGCGACTATAGACAGCAGCTCGCCATGCCCCCGCTGACCTAAAGCAGGGATTGGAGAGCCAAGGAAGCCAGTGACGGCTCACATGTCCATTGTACCTATGGAAGAATACCGTAGCAGAGAACAGAGGTGTCAGTCTGAAAACTCAGAAGAACACCACACCTTAAAAAATTACCAAAAACAAGTTTGGAATGTTCATTCTCTAGCAAATGCAAGGAAATAGGCTATGAAATCAGGGCAAGAAAGCCATGCTAGAGGGCAGGCTAAGATTATAAGGAAAAGTGTCGGAAAGGTGACGGGTGAGGCGAGGGACTCTAGGAACAACTGAAAATGCAGGAGCATCATCACAACTACCCGTGAGGCAGTAAGAGCAGAAGCGCGGTAGCCTTTCACAGCACTGAGCAGAATATCCACTCCCTTGAGGTGCTCTCCAGGAGAGTGGAAGAGAAAGACAGAGTTCTGATAATATAAACATAATGGGACAGATATACCTGCAGAGAACAGAAAGGGAACTTAAACATTCCAGGTGTTCCTTAGAAATAAAGAGAACTAGCAGAGGAGGAATTACCAAACTATCATGGAAAAAAGCCTCCTAAGCCACCGAAGGGTTGGCTGTGCGCACTGGAAAGACTTCACTGTGTTCAATTTAAGACTGAGAGAAAGTGGTCACTACCAGACAAATCTAGGTGGCATTTTAAAATTGTAAGTACAATCTGTACAGCCCCAAGCTTCCCCATTTTATAGGTACAAATGAGAACAGATTATTTTTTAACAATTATTCTTTAATAATAATGTACCTCTGAAGTCTTCTGGTTCTATACCCTTACTTCCTAGAAGCAGAGCCGCAGCTGAACTCCCTAGGACGTTCTCTCTGTCGAGCCTCTGGGGGAGTCCCTTGGTCTTTGCTGGCACCTCTGCCATGCCTGTCACACAGACCCCCAGTACCACAGGCAGCAGCCCCAGGCCGGTGATGGCTGAGTTCATCCTGCAGCTTCAGGATGCTGACAGTCCTGGGGCAGCTACAGCCGCTGTCGTGTTTCTTCCAGGTGTGCCGTTCTCCCTGCTGCTGCCCTGGCCCCACTGTGAGTCCAGCTGCTCCCTTTTTTACTGAAGGCCCAACAGTAGTGAAATAATAGTTGAGCTCAGAGAAAATCACTGGTGGCTAGCAGATCTGTTGTCTTTCAGAGCCTAAAACCCAGGCCCAAGTCCAATATCAAGGGGCCCCTTAAAGGACCCTTGGCTCATGGTCTGCCACCTGCTGGCCAAGCCTTGGTTTTCCTCTGCTTACCAGGAGTTCTTCCAAGCCCATCATTTTCTCCTTGGCGGCCAAAGCGCAAGCCTTAAAGGCCCCTGGTAAGGGAGGACTTCCTTCTTCCTTCCATGTCCACTGCTTCCCCTCAAGCCTTCCTTTCATATTCCCCGAATCTGCCACTTCCTATAACAATGGGCCAGGGCATACCCACTCTCTTCACAGAAGTCCACCCCAGCCACCCTCAATTATCTTTTTTTAGGCCTTAGGTGAGATAAATATTAAAGAATTACTATTAAAAAGTAATCTGTTCTCACTTGTACTTACAAGATGGGGAAGCTTGGGAGATACACAGATTATACTTATAATTTAAAAATGTCACCTAAAGCCTTCCCCTGTGATCTCAAAAGGACAACCTCATGAGAGCACACTAAAGTAACAACAGCACGAAGATATGTGTATGAGTCCCTCCATGTCCCCTTCCAAATTATAAAGAGAGACGGACCCTTGCATGTTTAACCTTTCTCTAAGTCTCAGTGACTCAGTCTTTACACATGAGCTAAATCAACAGCACCAGTTAGGTTCACTCTGCACCTGACTGGGTCCTTTTTTGCAAGAACTTTCTAAGAAGAAAGCTGCCCCTCAGCATGTAGGCTGGGAGTGGGGGCTCAGCGCTGGGATGATGGAAGTGGGAGGAGACCTTTCCCCTCCCCGTCTTGCTCCAGACACCCCTGCCTTTGCCCTGTGTTCCTGTCCTTGGCTTTCCAGCCCCAGTACATGCTGAATCTACATGTTCTTAGGTGAGATATCCTTATACATGAGGGGAAAGGTAAAAATTAAAATCCTATAGGCATCCAGGCAGGAGATTTTCTGTTTTACAAAGTAAGTGATCTGTCTCTACCCAGATTTCTTCAAAACACTGAATTTCAGAATGGAATAGAGTTGATCCAAGAATTTCAGACTCATGAAGATATCTTTTATGTAAGAAGGCAACACAAAGATATTCTCTAATATATGACAGCTCAGCTGTAAAAGGATTACACTCATGTATCCTTTTTAAAAAGATAGATCAACTCGGGAAAGAGGAAAACTGCAAGGGCCCATACAAATATTTATAGTGGCTGCTCCAGGGTGCTGACACTATCAGTGATTTTGCTGTTTTATGGTTCTTTGTATTGTCCAAATTTTCCATAATGAAATTCATTGCTATTTTAACCATTAAAGCTTTGGAAAATTTTAAGCTAAAAAGCATCTGCAAGGGATAATAAGGAAAAAGTTACGGAATATCTGCAAGGGACAAAATATACTAGGAACTATCTTCCAGCTAACGTGGTGACCCTCACTGTAGAAAGTGGATCCAAGAAAGAGTGTACCTTTTCATAACATTTTAGCTCTTACCATAAATAAATAATATGCTACATAAATATATATATATATATAAATACTATATTTGCCAGTATCTCCTATTAAAATGAAAGACTTCAACTGCTGAATGAACAAAGTCAATCCCTGAAATGATTTTATGTTTCAAAAGACTGAGGATATCAGAAAAGGCATTTCACACTTGTGTACCACTTTCTTTCTTTGCATTTTCACTTAAAGTCTCTTCTTGATTTATTAATAGGTTGAGCAATATCATAATGTCATTTTCCATGGCCCAGAAGGGAGCTTGCAGGACTACATAGCACATCAGCTTGCACTGTGCTTGAAGGTATCAGTTACTTACATAGCCTCTCGTTGTTCTTTGAAACATTGGAAAGTGTATAAAACTAATCATTCTGTTTTCTTATCTCAGCACAGACAAACGGCTGCAGGATTCTCCTGTGAGATAGTGAGAGCCGAAGTGGATGCTGGTTTCTCCAAGGAACAACTGGTAGACCTGTTCATCAGTAGCGGTAAGACATTCTAGCAAACTGAATTGTGATCACTGAAAGGCCTGCTCTTCAATGATGCCATTAAGGGGAAATAACCTGTGTTGCTGGGGGATAAAGTTAAGTCAACTTTTCAATTATTCAGCAGCTATAGGATAAAAATTGGAAATCCAAGTGAACGCCTGCAGAAAGCTGTTTTCCTGTGTAAATCATTGCATTTATTGTACATCCTCTTCTTTCCCTTTTCTTTTCTCATCTTTTGTTTATAAATGGTTACCTGTTGTGAGTGTGTTATACAACTGACACCAGAAGCGCACCAAGGGAGGAGGCAGTGGAACAGCCCACCCCCGCAGGATGAAGTATTCTATTATAGATGCTGCGTAGAATTACCTAATAAAAAGCAGATCAAACGTTAGTAAACTTTATTATTATTCATAAATTCTCTGCAACCAAAGCAATGCTTATTGTAGCACCTAAGGTTAAGTACTTATTTCCACCTAACCCTTGGTGTGCTACTAACTGGCACTTGGCTAATCACATTACACACATTAAGAAACTCATCTAATCTTGTATGCAAGTCAGTAGCATTGTCTCCCTTTCAGAGGTAAGGACACAGGCACAGAGAGGTTCAGTAACTTACCACAACTTCTGAGAGGCGGAGCCAGGATTTAAGATGTTTACTGATACAGCATTTCATGAACTTGCTATCTTAGGCTCCAGCGCTATACACCCCGAACTGCAGCACGGGTAGAGGTAGCATCCCCTGGGTAGCATGACATGACTAGCAACTGTGACACAAAACTGCAGTGCATCAGACTCCAGTCTCCAGGGGCTCAAAGCCAGAGACTCCAGGGCAGAGGGGGACAGTTGCAAGATTAGTGAAAGATGAGTTAAAACACAAATTCTAATCTCTGTTTTTAGGGGGTGGGTGCTTCTCATCTTCGCAACCATGATCCAGGGAAATGTCCTGTGGCTACAGCAGCTGTTGACCAGGCTTCCAAAAAAGGAAATTAGCAAAAGTTCCTAAATAAAAAACTAAAGTTAGGAGGTAGGTTTGAGGAGGGACTGAGGACTATACAAACCTAGAAGCACAGTTAGGGGACAGGAAAATCCCCCTGGAATCTGAATGTTACTGTAGTAACCAAGCCAGTCTTTGGCCAGAGACTAGTGCAAGTTAACTACAGAAGGCTGTTTTCTCTGCAGGCGTTTGTAATAACAGCTATCATTTGTTAAGCTCTTACTCTGGTAGGCCCTGTTCTAAACATCCTGATTTATAAATGTGAACATACTTGAACCAGGGGGTTGAGTCCCTGCTCAAAGATCCACCATGAGGACACAGCAGAGCAGGACCCAAACCAAGCAGTCTGGCCTCTGTGCGTGACCCTAGTCATACCAACCCCTGTTCCTCAAAAACTCAGTTGGGCCAAAATTCCTATTTCCCTTCTTAGCTTTATGACAAAAGCCCATTACATTTTTCTGATTTGCAGTCTTGTTTCATCTCAAAGTAAGAACCCCAGAATACTTTGTTCTCACTCCATCAGGGTAGATAGCAATTACACACTGAATTCTGCTCTAAGCTTAGAAAGCTAAGAAAATCAGAGAGCAGTGAATTAGGTCATAAAGAGTCATAAAGTGAATTTGGTCATTCTAAATCTGGGGTGGGTGGGGTTGGACATCTTAAAAAGAGCTCTTCTTCCCGATTTCCCAATTTGGTGAGTGGCACAAGTCTCTTGGTCCCTCACACTTGAAACTCAGGTCTTATTGGCAAGCTTGAAAACCTTAATGCCCACTGGTGCTGGGAAGCCACACTAAGGGGTGAAGCAGGCTGGGTGGGGCTGAGGGAGGGGGAGACCGGTCCCCACCTGCATGAGGGCGGTGGCTCTCAGCTCCGGCAGCTTGCTGCTGGTGGAAGCATAGATGCAGAGTTGTGAGGTCTTGTAACTTGAGGAAGAAGCCAGAAATACGGGTTTTATGTGAA